TCGATGGGCCGAATGGCCTCCTCTCGTTTGTATAGTTCTTATGTTCTTATGTTAAAAGTGTGGCAGGGTAACGAGCACTGCGGCCACACTGCGCCTGTCTTTGTGTGCCTTTCTTCCTGCAGTCCGAAAACCTTCAGCTTTTGAATTGGCAGCTGCCTTTGGGTTGAGGGTGCCCTCTACCCTCTGCTCTGTGCTGCCTGGGATAGGCTTGTACATATTCCTTTACAAGATTAGCAGTTATGATACATGGTTATTTTATATATTACCTACAGTTAATGATTATGAGATATGTCCAACATGTACAGTGGTACCTCAGTTCTCGAACTCATTATAACTCGAATTTCTTAAAAGTCGAACCAACCAGTTCGAAAAAAAATTACCCAGAGCTCGATCTGAATCTCAGAAGTCAAACCGTTAACGCCAACCTAAGATAACTTGTACGCGCGGGGAAATGAGTCACGAGGCATGTCTTTCAGCGGAAACAAAGGGTAACGCTTCAGTCTCAGCCTCGCATTCGCTGTGATAGCATCGTGCATGTTTACGCTAGCTGAATACATATATTTAGACAGTAAAAATACATTTAGACAATGATAGACAGTAACAGTAATTATTATATAATAAAATAAATTTAAAAATAAAGATTTCTTATTCATTATTTTAATATTAATAATAAACCATTAATACATTATAATAATATTGTCGTGCCTGGTGGGGACGAAACGGAGACAAAGGCACAGACGTCAGGGTATCGGGGAATATGGGGTTTAATTACAGGTAAGGCAGGCAAAACGCAGATGGACAATACAATGACCGGACTGGGGAAACAAACTGAAACACGGACGAAATACGGAGGACTAATGAAAACTACCAAAAACGGATGATCACACGGGGATTCCACACGGGGTTAACGAGGGGGCGTGGCACACGGAAGGAACGGACGATCAGGGCAGGACACATTGTTTTTTTTTTTTAACTTTACACATTGTTTGGATACATTTATTTTCTTACTTTACAAATGACTGTTTTGATAAATGTGCTTAGATGTGTTTAGTACAGTATATGCTGCTCTTGTTTTCAGTTAATTTTGTGTTTAAATGCTAAAAAAAAACATATTTAGGTGTAATTTTTTGGGGCCGGGAACCAATTAATTGGTTTTCCATTATTTCTTATGGGGAAAATTCGATCAGAACTCAAACTTTTTAGGATTCGATCCGGAGTTCTGAACGGATTAAATTCGAGTTCTGAGGTACCACTGTATATAGCTACACTGAAGTGAACATATATCATCTGCTGCTTATCCTGAACTGGTTTGCAGCAAACTCACATCTATACCATGTAGTATAGGACATAAGGCAGGGGAGTGCGCTGAACAGGATGCCTGTGCATTCTATGGCACACGACTACACACGCTGAGTTACACACTATGGGTAGTTTACTTAGATGCATATCTTTGGAATATGAGGGAAAATGCACACAGCAAATAAGGACAAAATAATTTTATTATCCAGTTTTTTAAATAAGTAAAATTGCTGCAAATTTATCCCTATATCTAAGTTATTGTATTGTTATTTGTACAACTTGCAGTTTGCATTTCATGGTTGGTATGCTAAATCTTCTGTTTAGGGTGTCAGAAAACATGGCATGTTGGGTATAAACATATCTCTCTCTACTGATATTTTGTCGTCGTTCAGCCTATATCTTTGAATGGATGTTATACTCTATCGTCCTTCAGTATTAATTAAAAAATAAAAATAAAATAAACCTTATTAAAACTGTTACATAGGATATCTGTCATGTATTATTTTGGTTTTTAACTAGATGGTATATTCCATTACCCATAAACCTTTGGGTTCTGGTGACTGTTTTGGTTCAGCGATTCATTTCAGTTCAGAAGAGGCTGGAGGTTGTCACTGACATATTTGCTTCAGCAGTGAGCAAGCAGAGTGAGCCAGAGAGGGGGGGGGGGGTGGGGGGGGGGGGGGACAGGGGGGGGGGCTGGCCTTGAAAAGCTCTCTCTTATGCACACACACAGACAGTACAGAGCAATGTTACTGGCTCTCCCTGAGAGGAGACAGGTTTGTGAGCAGTAAGGCACAGGCCCTTGGCGTCTTAGCCTTTTGGATTTGGACTTGATGCCATTTTATTCTCCCACCTCCACACTCTGGATATCTGGAGCCTTGGTAGCTTTATCGCAGCTTCTTGGATCTCCCTTTTTTATTATCGGAATAAAATCTCCTCCCAGGACGCCTCTGTCATCCTCGGAGCTTCACTGTGGTATGTGATTCTTCACTGTCAAGTGAGGTCTTATTCCTTGTATGAAGTGTATCATCAAAGAGGTATTTGGTTCATTTTTTTCCTCTCATACGGCAACGTAGCACTTCTTTTGCTGGAACACATGGAGGGCAGGGCAGCATGCGTATCAAAGGGGAGTGCAGTGAGGGCAGAGCAGTAGGGGAGATGCTGCCACCCCAGAATAGCTGCACGATGGTGCTGTGCTCATTGTTTGTGACTGGTAAGAATGTGTGTGTATGGTCATGTATATATTACATTGCAGGGACCAAATGTTCCCACAATGCAATAAAAACCTGTTATTTTGACATTGTGGGGACCATTTTTTTCAGTTTCCATAAGGGCAGGCTCAATTGTATAAAAACCTGTGAGTGCAATCGAAAAACTGAACATGCCAAAAGTCTTTTATTTTGTTTGGTTACACATTTTTAAGGTTAGGGCTGAGTAGGTGTTAAGGTGGTTATGTTGGGATTAGGGTTTTTTCCCATAGAAATGAATGGGGATTGATTTCATTTTATGATATGAATATAAACATGTGTGTGTGTATGTGTTCTCTGCTGAACAGTGGGGTCATCTGCTTTCTGAGCAGCAGCACCATTTCTGGTATGATCAGACTGAATTGTATTAATGAATGATATTAGTGTTATGTTCAGTGTTAATGACACAATGAGATTTGATTTAATTTATGATAACTGCACAGATTTTTCAAATGACAGATTGAGTAGAAGAATCAAAGGTAGTTAATTCAACTGCCTATTAAGGAACCATAGAAACATTAAAGGAGTACTCAGGGATTAAAAGGAGAAGCCCTGATATTGTCCCCTTCAGCAAAGAGATTAATATGAATTGCTTTGATAAAAAATCCAGCTCTGTTAAAAATGCAAAATTTGAACTAAATTAATCTCTTTGGATGAACGTCAACTGCATAATTATATTAAATATAATTATTAAAATTAATTTATTAATGAAGCACAGAACAGCATCACATAATCATATGCTGCAACAAGTATGTCAGACAAATATGTAAGGATCTGAATTAGAAATGGTATGGGCGAGTCCTTCCTGTCCAGCTGCCAGATTTACTGGGCAAAGATGCAGGCAGATCACAGATTCAGTGATAATCTAATAAAATCGTTCATTTTCTCTGGGCACCCCTACCCCACATATGCCTGCTGGGCTGTGTGTGAGGCTGTGACATCAGGATTGTGTCATTGTGTCACAGTCAAATGAGGGTCAAGCTCCTTTATATGAACAATTACATAAAACACACTTGCGACATGCCAAAAGAAGCACATAAGTTTTCCCTCTAAATTAGGTGACAGATAACTTGTGTCCTCAAAGATGTCAGGAAGTGAAACATGGAGAATAGTCATGGTATGTGAGCAGGGAATTTTTTTAGACAGTAGGATTGCCTGTAATCATCATCATAAGCAACAAGAACACCATTACGGTTTTTCTTGATTGCTTTGGCACATTTCATGAGACATACCTAATGTTCTCAAGACTATGAGCATTTCTCAAAATGGATAATATTTATATATTTTTTTAATTTATTTTTTAAAAATATTTTGCGTACATATATACAAATGACCTTGTACAATCGCCATAATTTGGCATAATTTTCGGGCTCTTTAGCTTTGGTGGTTAAAATTAATTATGTATTGGGCCATTGTGTTAACTTTACAACCAATATATATATATGTGAGTGATCATCATGTTAGTCACTATATGCAAAAGAGTTCACTACAGTTTTTCTTGATTGCTTTGGCACATTTCATGAAACATCTTAACATTTTCAGGACTATAAGAGCATTTCTCAAAACACTATTTTTTCAAAACACAATGCATATAATACAACACTACGGTTTAGCAGCAAAAGCCTGTAACTTGCCCAAAATAATTAGCTCATGTCTCAAAAGCAAATAATTCCACTAATGAATTAGTCAGCACCACCAAAATGAAAAGTACAATCAGCATCGTAATTGACCATGAGAGTTCCCAGTTTCTCATTGTCACTGTCTGATCATTTTTCATTAGCAAATTGTTACTTATTCATGTCAGACACCAGTTTCATCATCACAGGGCTCTACTTGTCAGTAAACTTTACATACTGTAAAGAGAAAGCACTCGCATGTACATGTAACTTCTTCAGATCTCAAAACAGTACAATAGCAAACCAAAAAAATTTACACAACACTGTATAGCACAAAAACAATAAAATGGCAATACAAGAACAATAAAATTACAACCAAATTATATATTGTGGGAACCAAAAATAAAGCATCTGTGTTTCACTGTAATTCATATAATACAGACCCTTTCTAAAAAATTAGAATGTCATGGAAAAGTTTATTTCCATAATTCCATTCAAAACGTTAAACTTTCATAGATTATAGATTCAGGGCTCACAACTTAAACGATTTCAAGTACTTAGTTTTTATTTGTACATAATTTGGGCTTCCAGCTCATAAAACCCACGAAAACAGGAATTCAAAAAATTAGAATACTGTGAAGACATCACCATTTACTTCTCAGTTTTTGCAGAAAAAAAAAGAATTCTCAATGGAGTTTAGGTCCGGCGAGTTTCATATGCAACAATGAGAAATGATGTTCTGCTCTGCAGAGTCCATCACAGAGCACATACACAGGCACACTCACATATCACATGTAATTTAGAGACACAAATTACCCTAACTGCATGTCTTTGGACTGTTGACATGGAATGAGATTTCTGGGAGGTAATCCACATGGCTTCCCGAACATGCAAATGCTACGCACACAAAGTAGTGTACGGATGTGAACTGCCATCCTTTGGAGGTGTGAGGCATCAGCATGAACCTGTCAGCCACCATGCTGACTATAATAACATGACTACATTAAAAATAGATTTTAATTCTTAATAACGTTAATAATACTACTTGAAAATGTACACATATAGACTAGTTTGCAACCTGGTCCTGGGATGTGTGGGTTTTATTTCAGCCAGTGAGTTCTTTAATGTGGACTGATTAGGCTGTTTACAGCTTTTACAACGGCTATAGATACAGATCCAGACCAACAACAGTATTGTAAGTATGTGCAAGTCAAATGTTAAACATCCTCAACATGCTTACTACTTTTGTAGACATAAGGCAGTACGATTATAATGAATAAAATTTTATTAACACGATTACAGTATCTATCATGCCATACTAGAAAAATACACCATCACACTGTAACAATCAACAAAACCCTTTGATATGGCAAACAAGCCTTATAGTCTCTAGGCATTATAATATACATGCATAAGCTATAAATGCATAATTCATAACATATTGCAATGTTGCCCATATATAGCTATAAAACCATGTGACCTCTTCTGATGTTTAAAATCATTTATATTAGTGTGTCTTTGCTGTTATAATGCTGAGTAGCACAGTAACTGAACACCTTGACCCCATCTGTGTGCTACAGTATATGTATTCAATTACAGCAACACAGTTTGGAGCAGGCCGCTTGCATTAATGTGCAGGTGTTCCTAATAATTTGTCATTGGGTGAAATTGGGCTTTTACAATGAATAGCAGCCTAAGCGAACTGCCTCTGTTTGCTAATGTGTTCCTTAATCTAACATATGGGAAAAAAATGGGAAACAATTCTTTTATAATGCATCATCTATGGTTAAAACAGGATATAGAATAACTACTCAGTTTTCCTTTACATTGTTATTTATACAGATTTTCTAGTACAAAAGCATTTTCAGTATACATACTGAATTTCAACCGTAATATCCTTCAATGAACTGTACTTACTGAAACTTCCTTAGACTAACACTCACGGTCAGCTATTTTGCAGTTACTCTATTTTGCTGTGCATCTTGAGCCAGGACCATGTCATTTTAAGGAGTATGTGCTTTTGTGCACCAATGTTGTTCCTAGCTCATGATGTCTTTTTTCCCTCTGGTTTCCACATCCATATCACCTTTGCTAATGTTCTGCAAAAATAATGAACCTGAACAGCCTTCAACATGCAGAAACAGTCATGCATTTCTCAATGACACTGAAACCTCTAGCTGTGATAACTTAATGCGCAACTGGACCAACCCAATATTTGGATTAGGATTACCTTTATGTTTAACATGATGGAATATTAATTTGTTAATTAACTGAAACACAATGTCTGTGTTTTAGTACATATATGCTAATGGTTTGTGCAATTCTGATTACTTTGCACAATTTTCAGTTGATTTAGTCTTGGTAAAAATAGATTGTGTAAATTTCCACTGTAATAATTTTACACCCAAAACTGTATATGTACATGATCATTATGTAAGCCACCATGTACAAAACAGTCAACCAAGCTTTCGAAATGATAAAAAAATTTATTCCATAAATTGCAGTGATATGGCATTGTTTTTTGTTCCCGCAGTACATAATTTTTTGTTGCCATTTTATTGTTCTTGTATTGCCATTTTGTGTTATACAGTGCTGTGTGAATTTTTTGTTTACTATTGTACTGTCTTGAGATATGAAAAATGCATTTGAGTGCTTTCCAGTGAATTTTACATACTGTGATGTAGAGCCTTGCAATATTGAAACTGGTATCTTTGACATGAATAAGAATCAGTTTGCTAAAGAAAAATAGTCAGTGACAATGAGAAACTGGAAACAGACTATCAATCAGAAATGTGGAGCTCAGGAGCATACTTACACTGACATACTGACAATACACTAACAATTTATCTAAGCATTTTGATTCTCATGGTTAAAATGATGCTGATTGTACTTTTTATTTTGGTGGCACTGACTAATTCATCAATGGAACTATTTTCTTTTGAGAAATTAGTTAATTATTTTAGTAAAGTTACAGGCTTTTACTGCTAAACCATAGTGTTGTGCTATTTACATGAACTGTTTTGAGAAATGTTCTTATAGTCTTGAGAATGGATCCACCCGCGGGGCAATATTATCTAACATCGGTAACACTAACTAGCGCTGGAAAAGGACA